ATACTGTGAGTTTTGAGTTTTGAATTTTATTTTTATATTGCATGATGATTCTTAATCATTTTTTGTTATGTTTTTCGATTGTTTTCTTTCCTATAATATATAACTTATTTTATGATTTTAACTTTCAATAATTGTTTTTATAAACGTTTATCATATTAGTTATTTATTTGAAATACAAAATAATCAATAAAAGTATATTCTTATGATAAAATATATTTATTATATATATACTAAATTCGTTTTTTGATAAAACGACATTTATAATTCAGTCATTCATTGAGATATTTCATATGATTAAACAGAATAAAAACTCATAAAGTAGTAAAAATCTATTTAATTTTTTTTTATCAGATAATGCATAACTTTATAATTAATATATTGCAATGTGCATGTTTTTAAGTAATATTATCTAGGTAAATTAAATATTTTAAAAAAAAAATCCTCTTTGTAAAGATGGCGGTTTATATATTTAGCAGCCAATTCAGTTGGCTGTGCATTTCTTACTAAACTTTAATTTTTTAATTTAATGTTAATATTTCTGAAACTAGTACATTCTTCAGAAACTAAAATTTAAATTTCTTTTCTTACTTTATATAAATCACAATATTAAAAAAAAAATCAGCACTGCAGGCTCCAGTCTTCCTTCAGATCTTTGAATTCAAAGAAATTAGAGATCTCAGAATTCTTTAGAAAGTATTAAAATAAAAAAATAAAATAAACTAGGTAAATTTTATAGAGTTTGGGGTAGCAACTGGGAATAGCTAAATTAAGAAGTGGCCAATTTTATAGTGAAAATTTCCATTGGATTAAATAAAGTCCATTTTACACAGTAATCAAACGACATAAAGCACGAGAGTGTAAAGGGGCTGTTTTTCTTGGTTCGCAAAGATTTCTTTGTTTTCAATAATCTTTTGTTTTATATTTTAAATAACAGTTGAGCTAATATTTATCAATTCAGTGTTGAACTCATCGATACAATCGTAAATCTACAAAGACATCAACAACATGTTAAAACATAAAATGTTTCCATCGCTAAATTCATCGATTAAATCACCAATGGCATATCAGTGGTCAAAGGTTCCGCTGAATGTAACCACATTATTACCTCAGTTTTGTTATTTCTCAATTTACATTATATTAATGTTTATACTTAATTTATATCAATATTAATTTCTGTTTTTGCTTTAAAAAATACAGTAGGAGTATTAACCTTTCCAGCATATTGTTCCCAAACTCAGCACAACGCTCTGCACATCGCTGCTGGATTAAACCGATTAGTGGAATTATCGCTGGGTTTAGAAACTGGCTTTTTAATTATTTCAAGAATGACCGTTCTCTTGCATAAATAATGAATCAAATCTAATCTGTATTAAAAAAAAGTATTTATTTACGCAAAAATGTTTTTCTTACAAACCGACAATATTTAACGATGAAAGTTTTATTGAACTATCATAAATGTACGCTTTTTTTATTATAAGTAAACAGTTGTAGGCGTTTGAAGTAATATTGAATAGTATAATAAAATTTAACTAAAGTAATATAAATAAAAAGTTATTTCCTTAGTATATCTTAATTATATTTTCGTTTTAATATTTTATTTGTCATTCAACTAAAGTTAGGAAACGAACGGATCATTTATGACGGATATCATTAATTACCATGAAGTTGCTGTAAATCCTCCAAATGGCCTCAGTAGAATGCCTCTATACAGGAGGAGGCCCTAACGAGAGAAAGGCATCTATAAGTAGCAATCTTTCATTCACCTGCCGTTCTATTTATAGCAGGAAATCTGAAACATTCCACAACTGTCTCGGAGGAATAAAAGAAAATTTAAAGATATCTGATTTTGTTTGACCTAGATTGTAGAGTATATACCAGCTGTCTCCATTTGTCTGGGTTATCTATGAACTTGACGCAGTCCAGTAAGTGATACTTAAGGAAGTTACTAGAAGAATCAGACACGTAGGAATAAAGGGAATCCTCAACGGTTCATCTAACGCTTTTGAACTTTTTGTTACTGCAGTTCTAAAAACTAACTATTCGGACTATTAATTGTTTCCTATTGGTTACTATTTGTTCTGACGTATTAAATTATTGTTACTGAAAAAGCAGAGGACGTAATGACCGAGCACATTGAGGCCTGTGTTCCAGAGGCCTGGGGTCAATCAATATTTATTTCTCGGCCAACCCGAGGAAATGTATCTCGGTACTCTTAATCAGGAAAGTACACGGCGGTAACATTTGTATAGCCGTCAGAGGATGGCAAAAAGGAACACATGCATCCCTTCTGTTTCCTTAGACGAGTGGGGTCTCAATCTGCACTCTCGCAGACGATACAACAATCTTAACAAGAAATAAAAATCCTACAAATGTCTCATAAACTTTTAAACAATGTCTAGCAGGACTAAATGATTGATGGGAAATATGTCTACATTAAGACAACGCCCAACACAATATTTTCACTCTCCGACATAAAACTTGCCCTCCTGCTTACCTCGACAATGTCTAAATTCCTAAAACAGATAAAGTTGATAAAATTATCAATATATACCTAACTGGTTCAATTTTTACACGAACCTTCCTAAATATTTACATCATAAACCATCCTTTCAATAGTTACATTATCAGTTCGTTAGGGTGCAGGACTTAATATATTTTGACTAGCGAAACTGCTCCATATGATGATGTCTCTCTGGCTTGTTCAAATTTTATTTCCCAATGTTCACATTATCTTCTGAAGGGACAGGTACCGACATTATACTTTCTTCACATATTTTTCTAAGCAGTAGTTTTTAACATTAACAATGTTTACCCTTCAATTCGTTGAAGTCTTAGGTGCCCATCTAATAATGGCTGAACGTTTTCGACAAGAATTATTCCAATCCATGCATTTTCTTAGTCGCCATTCTGTTTGCATAGTCTTGCTAGAGTTTATTATCTAACAATATGAGAAATCGGGTACTCACTTTATTATTCCTCACTTCCAATATTTTTTTTCACAGTTTTCCATATAGTTTCCAATGTTTACATCTTACACAACTGGAAGCTCTTCCCGGCTAGATTCGATGGTATTCACTGAAGATCCTCCTGGCTAGGTCAGACGGGCCCGCTGACCAGCTCTCAATATGATGCCTCTTCCAGGAATTTTAGAATTCCTAAAAAGACCATTCTACCCCAAACAGACCATTTCTACCTCCTTGGCCTAATCCAATCTTAAAAAAATAATGAGAGGGGCCCACATATCGACAAAAAAAGAAAACCACTAAATCTCAGACTTAGGCTATAACACTCATTTTCTTCAAAAGGGTCAATGTTAGAGCTGAAACTGAAATTGAACACTATTCGACTTAAGATATCTACATAAGCCAAAAAATTACATAAATAACCTAAAAACTTTTTAGTCAACAATTTTTAGAACTATAACTAAAGTTTCTTGGAACGATAATTTATACCAAGACCTTCAAACGCAAACAGTTAAGAACCACATACGGACGCATTACAGAAAAACCACATACGGACGCACTACAGACAATTTCACAATAGCTTTCACGGACATAATAATAAGGGCATACAAGGTATGACCACAATTAAAACGGAAAACCCGTGGAAGACTCATGGAAATCCTCGCATAGATTTTTGCTCCTCTTTCTTGCCTTTTTCCCGCACCAACGGTGATGGTGGGGAATTATTGAATGGGAAAAAAGTATCGTGAGCACCGGGATTTAAATTTTTAGTCTTCGGTTTAAAATCAGGTTGGCCGGGCAAAGCTTCTTTTGCACACGCGTTTGTCAGCACGGCCATCTCGCCTCCCTCCCGCTCTCCAATCTTCCAATCCTCGCTTGGCTATAAATATTAAATTCAAGGTAGGAAGAGATGCTGCTGGGCACTCCTCTTCTTGGTGCCTAATAATGTGCGACGCAATTGTACTTCCCGGCAGCAAAGTCATTGATTGTCTGTATTTCTGACAGTGAGTGAAGTATTAAAGTTAAAAAAATAAAAGATTAATTATTTGCGAATTAGGTGACTCAGGTAATCATAAAAGTTATCTACCTATCTAATATTCTCTCTTTTAAATTCATTATATAGGTATTTCATTCACGTACTTTGATTATAGCTGTGTGGTGTATGATGGCCTCTCTGTGGAGCTCCGGGATAGACTAATGAACAGCTGCGTAAGATTTGTGATCGGGGCCCCAAGATACTCCCATGTTTCTCACCACTACGCTGAGTTAAAGTGGCTTTTTCCCTCCTTCCAAAGACAATATTTCCTAGGTACGTTCCTCTACCAAATCATCAACAACCATCGTCCTTCTTACGCCTACAACCTTCAGTTCAAATCCTCAGTCCATTCCCTGTCCATAAGATCTCGACCTTCTAACCTTTACATGCCTTCTCATAGATCTGATTCATTCCAAAATCCCTTTATTGTTCGCTCTGTCAATTTCTGGAATTCCCTCCCTATCAAAATTCGACATTCCCCATCCATATTCACATTCAAAACCCTTCTATTCCAATTCCTATCCCAAAAACAGTCAGATAGTTGCTAACCATTCGAGCTGATTTTAATAGAGAATTTGTTATATTTTTATTTTTTAATTCTTTATTATTTTCTTAAGAGTGTGTACTGGTCTATCAGTGCAAATAGCTTTAAGTGTCTTGTTATAGTATTAATTGTTTTGTATATAGTTTCGTTTGTTTTGTATGTAGAATGTTTACCTTATATTTTCTTTACCTTATTTCTTTTTTTCGATTGATTTTATTTTGGCCAGATGTAATATTTTTGTTTTGTTATTCTCAAGAATAAAATTATTTTTTTATTTATATTTATATTTCTACAATTTTCTAGAACATTATATACAAACATAAGCGTTGCACCGACAACAATTTTATTAACTTTTAGACAATCAATTGTAAAAAATGTTTATGAAAATAATTCAAGTCAGAAATACCTGCCGTAAGGAGATGTCAGATCCGCAGGTGGTTGCCAGTTCCGTGTCGGATTAGCCTATCGCTCGCTGTTCGTTCTGCTGCGAACCCGGTCCGTAGGGATTTGTCTGAGAGCTTCCAGCGGCCAGGGTGCTATTAAAAGATTTCTAAATGCAAATTAAACGAGATTAGAAAATAACGGTTGAAATCCTTATTAATATATTTTGTTATATTTATATATATTATCAATTTTCAAATTATTGCCCGAACAATCCTAAAAGAAACTAAAATCCCCCATACCTTTCTGCTACTAATGGAAATGGAGCATTTAATACAGTGTCCAAAATAAAAACTCAGACGAGACTAATAAAATGAAAAATTGAATTAATATGAAACCCTATTTAGTTACCGAATTAAGGTGTAGCTGTAAGCATATGCGTTGCGATTGAACGTCTATGTAACTATTTTTTTACAAAACGACTCGAGGGATTTTTAAGTTCGATGACTCAAATAATTTAATGAAATCCTATGAGGGTTTTTAAAACAATACGATCTCAAAATACCGACAAATTATTGTACATAATGTGTTCATCCAATCTGCTAAAAGGTGTGTAAAGATGTTTTGAATGAATCGTTCGATCGATTTTTAATGATTCGAATTACTCAGAATAATCTTGTGAATGCTTTGATGGAAATTGAGTGCAAAATAATATAGCAATATGTTATTACCTGTACACCGAAGGTAAAGAAGACAATAGTAATTTTTGTATTTCTTCAGAGAAGTCAATTTTCTATAACGTTGAGCTATTAAAATTTGTTTCATAGTTACTAAATTATTTAATAACAAAATGGACATGGTATCAACATCTGAAGGGCTCTTCAGTTTCTATTCAGCACCCGACTATCATGTTTAATTAATCTCAGAAGTCATTTTTTTTTTAATTTTGTCATTTAAGTACATTCAGTCAGAATGGATAGTGATCTGTATCAGTGTGTCTCAATGAATTAAATTATAATTTTAAAATTAACTGATTACTTTTATAATTTTTTTAATTTATAATGGAGTATAAAAAAACTAACCGCTAATGACCCTAGGGGTATAGGTGACTACAAATAATTTAAAAATATATTTATAAGTAATTAGTTAATTTTAAAATTATATTTACTTTTATTTTACTCTTAATTATGAATTTAGTAAATAAATAAAATATCATAATGGCTCTTAATGATATCTATTTCATCGATTAATAAATTAGTACCACAATGAATTAACGCAATTGAAGAACATTTTTCTAGTATTAGATGTCTTTCAATTTGCTTTGTATTAAAAATTAATCAGTTTTGTACCATTTGGAACAATAAGCATTGTTAGACAGGATTCGTCACAATTTTTAAATAAATATATTAAATATAATTTTAGTTTTGTATAGTTATTTTTATTACTTTATTGAGCTAAAATTTACAAAATATTAAAGGAAATTTCGTTTGTTTAATATTTAAAAATAACATTAGATTATAGGAGGGCCAAATTTTTAAAAGTTAAATATGAGGAATAAAAGTCACCAAAAACATCATTGAAATAATTAAATATAAATTATTACAAATCTTGAAGTGGAATCATAAAATGTCAGCCCACGAATGGACGCTTTTGACTAATACGCTCTACGATAATATAATGATTTCTCATATCTACTTTTTTTAAACATAAAATACTAAGATTAATTTATCGTCTCAACATAATAAATTTTTTAGAACAATTTTAAAATTGTTGAAATCCTAATGTGGACTTTCAGGCTAAAGAACCCTCCCCTCCAAAATGGTAAAAATGTAACCATGTTTTATTGTTCGTGTTATTGCATTTAATAGGACTTCAAGAATCACTTAAACACCATTTCATATTGGTAGTTAGTATCTTTCCAAAGTAATTATCGTTATATTTAGATGTGGAAAAAAAACATCTCTGGCTGAAGTCTCCTCTCCTCCAAAATCAAATCCAGGATCAGTTAGTGATGAGCACATAAGCAGAAAATTAATTCAATAACCAAAATCGAATAACACTAATTTTTATTTAGGCTATATGATTGATGAGGAATAAGGCATATAGAGGCAATAAGTTTCGATCCCGAAGATAATTCTAATCGAATAAAGGTGTTCAATAGTAAGTCAATGTGTGAAACATATGTACATGTTTCAAACTTATGTCGTTCACCAGATTCAATTTCAAGTAAGTCAGATCATATTTGTCCGAAACCATTTCCATTCAACCATTGTTAAGAGCGCTGGAGGAGGACAGACCAAAGGATTCTGGAAGCCGACGGAGAAGACCGTCCGGGAAGAACACGTCTTACTTTGCCTTTGTAATCTGACTCTTAGGGACGTTAATTGCCCATTCAGTGAAGGGCGATCTCATGTTTAATGGAAGCGGTTTAGGGAGCCGAATGTCCGCAAGCTTTTTGCTAGCGCTGGGTTCGCCGCATCCAAATGCCCCATTACCTTGTCTTCGTCCCTCATTAGGACAACTCTTGCTTTCCAAACAAATTGCATTATTTCCTCTCCCAACATCTGGGTACCGCAAGTCCTATTTTACTTACAAATCCAACTTCGGGGAGCATATCTCAATCCCCCGTGAAATGCCAACCCATCCTGTGTACTAATTGGTCTTCTACGATACTAACGTTTGCTACATTTCACGAAGAACCACCAAAAATAAAAGAAGCAAAAAGTTTTATGAAAGTATCACAAAATCCCTAATATCACAACGAAAAAAACTATATCGATGGCTTTACTGGCTTCGAGGACACTTAACACTTGCAAGGCTATTAATACTAATTTTAAAAGGTAACACCGACCTAAATTTCCATTACACAAGAGTGAAAAGTTTGGTTATTTTTTCGGTTGTATATTAATTAATTCTTGAGATTGTCAAAAACATTACACCACTATAAGTAGTAAAGTAAATTAGTAAGCAGTTACATTTCAATATGTTCCATACCAATCCCAAATCTCAAAAAATTAAAAATAACTAATACGTAATCAGATATAAATTTACAAATCACCGATTCTTTATTTACTTTTGTGTAGGAAAATGGAAAGGAAAATTATTAGAACATTATAGGAAAGTTTCATCAAAATCGTTAGAGCCGTTTTCGAGCTACATTCTATAGAAAAACTTGTTTTATATTTATTGCGCACGGAGCAGCGAATTTCTGCCACAGGCATCAGTATTTAAAATCCTACAAAATAAAAAAAGAAGCAACAAAATCTGTTCAGTAGTTTCCGAGAAAATCATGGCACTGACAGACCCATGGCTAAAAATTTGTTTTCGAACTCAGAGGGCTCTGAAAAGTATAGATCCGTTGAAAACCGCATATCGGAAATTTGACCCGATCGCAATACTTTCCTTACCTAGTACAGGTAGGAAAGTAAAAAAATAGAAAGTTATTTATTATCTAATGTTTTAACAGTGTTACATCTACCTTACAGTGAATAAAACTTTCTTTTATTTTGAATATTATATTTAATCCTGATTAAGAAATAATTCAGTTATAATAGGATTTTCAGTGTTATATTATACAGTATACTTACGTTAGTTTAGTGATACATCAAAGTGCACCGGTTGAGATGAAGCAACAATAAAAAGTTGAACTGAACTGCTATAGATAGCCTCGCTAGATATCACTGCTTCAAAGAAAAATGTTTACGGTAGAGCACAGAGCGTACCTGAAACGTCCGATATAAAAACACATTTATTTCAGTTTTTGAAGGCCACGGGATCGCGAATACCTTCTTATCCAGAAATGATCTCAAACACGAGCTCCATGCTTAGGATGCCATTTAGTTCGCTAAATGGGTGAAAAAACGAACAAAGCCAGTCATGCGATTACTGGTCGCTAGTGTTGTTGCACAACACTCGGCTTGAGGAAGAGAGCTATTAACCCCTTACAAAAGTATATGACTGGTGACTAGTATAACTGTGTATGTGTGCTCCATATCCGTTTGTGAGTGTGTGTATGTGCTGTGCCGGCCCCTTGGGGTGGGGCAACCGGGGCAATCGTCCCGGGGCGCCGACCGATCTTCAGGGGCGCTCCACACTTGTTAGAATATAATAAAAAAAAACGTATTAAAAGAATTAATTTTAGTCAATCAATAAAGTAACTATCAAACAAATATTGAATAAAATAAAGAGCAAGAAGATGGTCCGGGGTGGCTATCATAAAAAATAGTTTTTTCACTATTTTAGTCTTTTTAGGATTAAAATACCCTCCGAGGCGTCTTAAAAGAAGATGGCCTCGTGATCTACTTATGTAAATATATTATTAGAGTGCTACCAATGGGTAGTTTCTCAACAAGCGTTTTCATGAGATTATATTTTTACTGTGTGCACATTTACTAGTTGTATTTTTTTTTTATAATACAGTTATAAATATCAATGAATAAAAAAAAAGAGGATTAAAATAAAATAGTTTTTTCACAATTTAATCTTTTTAGGCTTGAAATAAATTTTTTTCTCACTATTTTAGTCTTTTTATGGCTTGAAATAAAATAGCTTTTTCACTATTAGTCTTTTAACTTGAAATAAAGAAATGTTTTTCACTATTTTAGTCTTGAAGTAAAATAGTTTTTTCACTATTTTACTGTTTTTAGGTTTGAAATAAAATAGTGTTTTCACTATTTTGGTAGTATTTTCATGAACGCCAACCGCTACCAATTTAATCCAATTCACAATTTAATCTTTTTAGACTTGAAATAACTTTTTTTCTCACTATTTTAGTCTTTTTATGGCTTGAAATCCAATAGTTTTTTCACTGTTTTAGCCTTCAAGTAAAATAGTTTTTTTCACTATTTTAGTATCTTTAGGATTGAAATAAAATAGTGTTTTCAAAATTTAATCTTTTTAGGCTTGGAATAAATTTTTATTCACTAGTCTTTATATGGCTCGAAATAAAATAGTTTTCCATTATTTTAGCCTTGAAGTAAAATATTTTTTTTTCACCATTTTAGTTTTTTTAAGCTTGAAATAAGATAGTTTTTTCACTATTTTACTCTTTTTAGGTTTGAAATAAAATAGTGTTTTAACTATTTTAGTAGTAATTTCATGAACGCCAACAGGGGCCATCTCCTTCCTCTAAAATATACAACGATTAACCATAAAATATTCTGAATGAAATTATTTTTTTTTTTTTTAAACTTTTATTATGATATTTACAACTGTATTAGTATGAATACATCTAGTAAATTTGTACAGAGAAATATTATTACATGAAACACGCTAGTTGAGAAACTACCCACTGGTAGCACTCTAATAATTTGTCTACATGAGAAGATCACGAGGCCATCTTCTTTTCAGACGCCTCGGAGGGTTATCAGGAATCGAAGAGGAAGCAATTTTAGAAACAAGAGGATTCGGATGGTTATCTGAATGAAATAAAATTCAAATATTATATAATACAAAACGGCTTAGTAAATAAATATTTTTTTTTAGGGGAGGGGATGACGTCATTTCCTGGGGATGCCGAATGTCAAAGGCAGGCACTGTGTATGTAAACAATAATGTAGGATGTTGCAATGTGTTAATGTTAGTTCTCGGTACTTGATATATTTCTGCAAAGGAGAAACTGAGAGGGAAAGGATGGGATAGCTTGTGTTTAAGACACTCGGTTCGAGTCCGGCGAAGGTAGATAATTTATTCATGCTATTATTTCGGCCATGAATCAGTTATGAGTCCCTATGAGGAGCCTACCTAGGATCTAGAAAGTGGGTACCTGATCTATCAAATGGTTGGGAAAAGAACTTGGTAGTTGAGATTCATTCAGGGTGTATCACATCCTTAAACAACCGTTTGTCAATAAGCGGGGTTCCTAGCGAGTACTCCGCATAACGTCAGGGATTGTAATATATAATCGATCAGAACTAACCGAAAGGACTGTTAGAACATAGAATTTTCGTTATCTGGAATCCATTTGACCATCTGGATCAAAGAGAAATTCAGGTTTAAAAATTTAGAGTAGATACTTACGAAACTTCTCTTATCTTGAGTGAATGATTATTAAAGGCACGTTAGCTAATTAAAGGTGATCTGCATAAGTTAAAAAATAATGAGCTCGAGAAAGCTAAACCTTTTTGGGGTAGCTTCTTCTTTACGTTTAGATAATTAATCAAACCTATCTAAACTAGCATTTTCACTGAATTCATTTCTATAATGACTATTATCGATTAGCTCTTAGCTTTGTTTGTTCCATCAAAATACATAATATGTTAATTTATTCAAATCATAAAAGGCGACAGACAGCCTGAAAGAAGATTCCGAAAATAATTTGGATACAGCTGACAGTTCTTCTGATCTGTGATAATTGCTCAGTTCAGATAATCTAGGCAAATTAATATAGGGAACAGCTTATGGGATCTTCTATCATAATAAATTATCATATCTCAACAAATTTTTTTTATATAGGTATCTATGTCTATAAAAAATCAACACTAATAATCTATCTTTTTTTTATCTTGAAAATATATATATATATATATCGACTGGCTGTCTGGCTGTCATAGGAGTCATTCTTGCTGTCCACTCTATTGTTCCGATTGGGGAAACAAAAGCTGATGCCGAAAAGCTGTCCCTGATCCCATCGCCGTGAACTCTCCTGAAAACCTATCATGCCCCTGAACGTGCTACAGTTCGGTTGCCGCTAACCTTAAGGATCGTGTCTTCTATGATATAGCATGGTGCCAACCCCCGCAATCTGCTATTTGCATAATCAGCCACGTGGCAGGGTTGCTAAACCGCTAATAGCTCTTGTCATTCTCACCTCTCCGGCTCGTTTGCATTCTTAAATTTGAGATGGACCCTCTTCCCCCTAAAAAAAAAAATCTATACTTTAGACATTTAACTTTAATGAACTGAAATTTAAGACTTATTTATATTTAATTATGTAAATATAAAAAAAAAACTTTTGGTTTCGTAGCGAACGGAGCATCATGACTTACAGTATTCATAAATATATTATTTATTTTACCAAGATTTTAGCTACAACAGCCAAATTATTCCGAAGTCTTTGTCTTATTATTTAATTGACACAAAAATTATATTAATAATTAAAGAAAAAATACTTTACGTAATGAAAAAATACATTTTATGTTAAATAATTATTTTTTTTACCTTTTTATGTTCTTGTGTAACAGTCCGTGGTATAGACCCCTTTTTATCGAATTGTTAACATCCACCTGAAACTTTGTAAATAGTTTCATCTCATAGTAACCTTCAACTATTTTATTTACGAAAACCCTTGAAATTTTGGCGTTTTCAATTTGGAGGGAGGCAAACTTTGTCTATTTAATTATGTACTAAAAACTCATAAATACCCATTTGCTTTCTACTAGGATCGTAATATAATCTGATCACAAAATCGATAAAAAATGTGGCCTACAAAAACATTTGACGGTTTGTCCAACATAACCTCGTTATTTTGAAAATTTAGAGGTGTAGGTTACTCCAAACGGCTCAATATTTTTTAATGCGATATTTTTTCTCGATTTTGTGATCAAATTATCTTACGATCCAAGTAGAAAGCAAATGGGTATTCACGAATTTTTAGTATCTAATAAAATAGACAAAGTTTGCTCCCCTCCAGATTGAAAACCCATCGAATTCCAACAGTTTTCGTAAATAAAATAGTTGTAGGTTATGAAAAAATGAAACTATTTACAAAGTTTCAGGCGGATGTTAATAATGCGATAAAAAGGGGTCTGTTGTACCACGGACTATAAGCAGCTGTTCGAATAAGCACATGAAGTATTGTGTATGTGTGAAACCATGTTAGAAATGTTTTTTTTTTTACTAGACGTTGTTAACTGTTTAATAATTTTTAGATATAAGGCAGATTTTTTATTTATTTTAACCACGGTTGAGTGAATATATTCAATTTGTATATTTCAATAATGTATTATAAACCTTTTCAATTGATTTTTGATTCACCGAAGAATATCATACCAATTTGTTAATTTTTAGAACCTAAACAAAATATAATTAGTATCCCATGACAAACATAGCACTTAAGAGTCTGTCAGCAAGAAGTACGATTAATCTAAAAAATGAAGCATGTTTGGATACCATGGAACCTGGGCCAAGTTAAGATCCTTTGCAACTATACATTATCACAATAAATATCCGTATTTTCTTTAAAACATGTTTAACACTTAATTTAAAGCATATTAAACGAAGAAATTTTTCTAAAAGTGGGGTATCTGTATCACAGTTGGATGGAACAGTCGCGAATAATTTAAGATTTTTATTGAAACAGGACTTAGTTTAGTCTCTCAAAAGTCCTCTTTAAATGGTTTTAATAGCAAAGTTCCATTTGAAGTAAATTTTGTCTAGTTTACATTGAAGAAATTCTTATTACTTAATTAAATATTTTTTTAGCTATCGCTTCCCATTCAACAAAAATTATGACTTAATTAAAAACACAAAACTTGGATTTCCTCAGTAAAGCTCTGGATCACATCAAACCGCCCTAATCGTATAGAGGAAGTCGCCGTGACCAGATTAAGAATAGGACACACGAACCTAACCCATGTACATCTCTTCACTAAGCATCCTCCACCAAATTGTGAGCACTGCGTTCTCACAGTCAATCATATTTTCCAGGAAAACACTTATTATACTTCAAGCCTAAATCAATTATCTCTAAAACCGGATATATCAGCAATATTAAGCAAAAACGAATCAAACATAAAAACAGTGATAAAATGTCTTAAAATCCATAGGTTATTAAATAAAATATAAAAATAAATATAATTCTTTCTTTTTTTATATTTATTTTAATATATTTCATTTTTCACATGTTTTTAAATATCTTTTTCATTTATTACTCTATCTATTATTAACTATTAATTCTCCACTAAAGAGTATACAAATATAACGGACTCCAGGGGATGACCCCAGGGTTTCACGCCTTAAAGCCTAACTTACGGAATGGACTTAATCCGTAACAACTATTAATATTAACTTTTATTTAATTTAATCATTTAAATCATTCATTGACCTTTCTCATGACCTTCATCAAAGCCCTAGATAGCCAGGTCAAGCTATCTCTGATAGCTTAGAAATAGTTACCTAGAATGTGCTGACTGGACAGAAGACACTTCTCAAGACTTAGGGAACAATAACCGTTTTCAACAAACGAGCACTTTCTCATATCAATTCTAAAAGATGAGGATATCAATTCTTAATAGTTATAACTTCATTCACACGCTTCCTAGACCCTCCAGAATTGATTCATCCCCCCTACTATTCCTGAGCATATAACCCCTATGATACTCAGACCAACTCACTCATACAGTTGCATTCTTGAGTCAGACTCTTCACTGTAGGAGACCTGGAGTGAACTGATGTAGTCAACTCATATAACCATAGTATATTATTCTGTATTTTAGTTGCCATGTAACATTATGAATAAATAGCATTATTTATAATGTCTCCACTGTCTCCGATTCGCTAACTCCTAAATAAACAAACAAACTTGGATTACCTACTTTTCTGCTAAAAATTGACTCGTTCCTTAGATAAACTTTTTTTTAGCTCTTAAGATTTGCTATCATTCTTATAAAAATTTTCCTCTGGTAAGAGACATCCTGTATACAGTGTTGATGTAGATTACTTTGTTTGAGACTATTCAATACATAGAAATGTATTTTTCTATATTACATCCTAGAGGTAATTTTAACTCAACACTTTAATCTCTAACTGATTAGAGCAGTTAATTCCGAATCCATCTGCCTTCTCATAGACCTTTTGTGATAAAACTTGAAAGCAAAAAACAAGTATTCCTATACATAAAAAAAATTGTTAAAGTGAACTATAGCCAGCTGGTCCAAAATACAAGAGATCGCTAACTGTGAAGATGACTTCAATAGTAGTGATAAATAATGCTCTTCGGTCTCAGCAACGATAGTGATTATTGTTGTTTCAAGTGGTGCAGAATTTTGGTCCTGCCGAAGACTATCCCCGACCCGAAGCAACGTTGCGCCACCTCGGAGAGCGCATTGATGTATCGGAGGACTATTGAGACGTTACTAGACCTGCTATTAGGTAGCTCACGAAGCTACGTCCCTCCGAGTTATTTACTAGTACCTCTTGTCAAAATCTCAATCCGGGAAGATCAGGTCATCCCTCACTCCACCGCCCTCTATTATTAGCCCTATCTCAGCGAATTAATTTACGAGCGCAACCTGGAGGAAAAGGTAGCGTTCGGATTGGGCGATTTTTCAACTGTCGGTGGCAGTCGCGCGCGTGTTGCAGGTTCTGGGTGGTAAACATTGTAAGGACGACACGTGATTTCACTGAATATGTATGAAGCTACAGCAGCAATATTTTCTATAACAATATTTCCAAAAAACAAATTTATTATATTTTAAAATATTTTATTTCTTAATTGAGATTAAAGACTGTAAGAAGAAGAAGATAAGAAAGTATGGGATATATACATTGGCGGCTAGCTGTATACATTGTGGAACTGTAACATCCTCTATTTATTCTTTATTAGCAATGTCATTCAATATTAAAAATCATTTTTCTTTAATTATTTATCTTTTAATGCACAATAAATATTTCTCAAGTCTAAAGCCAGTAGTTATCCTTCAATTAAGGAAAATGTTGGTTGGAACAGTGAAACGTGCACTTTACAGTTAACATGCACACATATATAGCTCCACGTGAAGCTGAGTGAGAGAACGTAATGTTATTTTTGTAGTTTTTTTGTGTTGTGGTATTGAAAAACTTATTTCGGTAACTAAACTTCAAAAGCTTAATTTTTCACTTTATCAGTCTCAAACACTTTCTAATGATAACAAAACAAAAAATAATTGTTTCAAACATCAGCAGCATAATTGTGAATTAAAAAATTACAATATACTATAGTTGATTGAGCGCTACCAGTGGGTAGTTTCTCAACAAGCGTTTTCATGTGATTATATTCCTATGAACACATTTACTTGATGTAATACAGTAGTAAATTTCATGAGTAGATAAAAAAAATATCATTGTTGAAAGTAGTCAACCTCCAATTCGTTAAATACTTCACATAAGATCTACTTAATAACTTGATGAGTTCATTAAAATTATTTCTGAGGCTAATATTTATCAGAATAACGGTCAGATGATGTTAAGCGCCCCAGACGTCCACTACTATCCCCGTCCTTGGATAAGCTCAAGCTAGAGAGGATTAGCAACGGTTATTTTTTTAATTGTTTCATAAGCCAGGGGATATTTGTTAGTGGGTCACTTCATGATGCACGTTCCCAATCGCGATCCCACTATCGGCTATTTGCGATATAGCCAAAACCAACAGCGGCCGAGATATCTGCCTTCACGACTGCACAAAGGTCAGTAGCAGAAAGAGGCGGTCAAGGTAGGATGTTCTGCAACAGCTGAGTAAACAACTGATGCCGACCTTGCCTCCGTTCGTGAAACGTCTTTGCCATCTTAATTAAGATCTGCGGCCGCTCCGGATCTGCCGAAGGTGTTGGGCAACGCAAGGACCGCGCGGCCACGACCACCGCCCTCCATGTCATCCCTTGTGCCATTCACATCTCCGGCTCGCCATTCACTTCGGATGGTCGAAGTCGCAACAAATGTATAGAAGAAACACCGCATTCAAAGATCTACTTGAATATATTTCACACAAATTTACTAACAAACAACAGACTTATTACACATATCTAGTGTGGACCAAATTCTTTCTTGGTCTTGCAAAGACCATGACCTTTTTGATTAAAAAGTAAAAGAAAATAGTTATTAATACTAGACAATTTTAGTTATTGTATGTAAAGCATTGGTATAACCAACATACTTTTGCATTT